AATTGTTTATTTTTCATCTTTACATTTCAATATTATCTGTATAATTTTGTTCGAGAAATGTTTCTAGATGAAAACTCTCCCTGCAGTTCAAAACTAGAATTTTAGGTCGAGATAAGAACCTTGGCGCGAAAAAAAACCTGCAAGCAACTTTTTTTTTCTACCTTTAATGGGAATATGCTAGGTAAATTCGAATTTCCAATAACTTGTTTAAGCACGATAAAGTACTATTTTCCTTACTAACAAAAATTAAAACAAAAATCTTGAAGGTAAAAAGAAGCAATTCGAGAGAAGAACGATAAAATCTATATCTATCAGTTGACATTATATTTTGATTTGGGGCACAATGCTTTCAGTGGTTTTCCTTGTAACAGCGGTTGGATGGTTTGCCGGAAAATATAGGCTTGCGTTTTGATATTAATTCTGAGATAAGAAGTAAAAAGCAAGCTAAATCAAAAACCCGTCTTCTGCAGATCACATGAACTCATCTAATGCAAACCATGATAAGAAATTGTAACATAACCAAAAGTAAAGTGCGCACTCTGATTGGTCAATTCAGTGTGCACAGTCTATGCTACTGATGTGAACAAATGCAGAGGCTTAGGACGTTTTGCCAAGCAGTCAAGAGGCTAAAGTCGCTCTCGGCAATCGTCTCGCGCGATTTTTACGCTTCTTTCGGCCTTAGCAACCTCCCACGTGCATCCATAACTCAGTAGTGTACTTTGTGGTGTTTACCTTTCATTGACTCTCTCGTTGAGGCACTGCACCTGCTTTACAGGTTTTTCCATTCCCAGTATTCCTCCATGTCAGATTCAACTTGGGATGCAAAACGGCAAGATACCAAATTCTGCATTGACAGCCTCATCGAAATGGAATGCCAATTATGGTCCTGAAAATGCGAGACTTCACTTTCATCCTGTAAGCGGCCGCCAAGGAGCCTGGGTAGCAAGAGTTCAGAACGTGAACCAGTGGCTCCAGGTTGATTTCGGGGTTGAGACGCAAGTCACACGAATTGCTACCCAAGGTCGCCAGAATAAAAATCAGTATGTCACAAAATACACATTAAGATACAGTCTTGATAAATCTCAGTGGAACATGTATCAACCGAATGGTTTCACCATGGTGAGTTGAAACTGTCCTTCGAAATAATAATTTTCGTAGAGCGTTTTGACGTCGAGCCATTATTATGAAGTATTTCAAGTGAAAGACATTGAGTTAAAGCATATCGTTTGTATATTACTCGCTTTTCTTACATTTCGAAAATCAGACCTCTATAAGCGGGTCTGGATGGGGTTAACTATCAATTGACAGATGGCCAAATTTTAACTGACAACTGACAAATCGCTGAAAAACTAACTGACAACTGACATTTGCGGTGGGCTTTTACTGACAACTGACAAAAGCCCGGATCACCCTAAATATTCTAAAAACTTGATGTAAAATAAGGACAGTTGGTTTATTTTGTTCAATGAAAGTACATTTTCCATTACATATCTGTAGGGGTACGCCAGAGCGTCGTATTTAGTTAATAATTACCGCATGTGCCATCCACATCAAGGTCACGTGCCACATATCAGTTATATGGTCTTTGATACCCAACTCGATCGTCAACTTAAGCGATGGCCGTGAT